ATATATATATATAAAGCACAGTTTTTGTCAAAAATTTATTTGACTGCCTTCCCGATTGAGTTTTTAGCTGAAAGTTGATATGGACAAATCAGACTTGATAAGGAACATGTTAAAAAACATTCATCAAAAACATCCACCGGGAAGGTCCCCAAATGGTCTCGGCCTGACGGCAGTTTTCGTCAAGCCAGTCTAATATGATATGCAAAAAAGATCGTGTTCATCCGAATGGACAGAAGGCGTCATCCGGTTTCCGACGTTTAAGGAAGGCTAAAGGGTCAAATAGGTACATGAACTAACTTAAAGTGTTCAATTAGCCCCTTATATAGGAGGTTCTGCCCGACCGTCGCCAATTGAGGCGGTTCTCGGTAAAAAATTTTGATGAACTTTTTTTTTTGCATCTTCTTCATTAAGTCTAGTTTACTCATACCAAACTTCAGCTAAAAATTCAACCGGGAAGGCAGTCAAATGATTTTTTGAAGGTAACTGCGCAGTTAAACAGCGCAGTACATTTTGGAAAATCAATTGACTGCCTTCCCGGTTGAATTTTTAGCTGAAATTTGATATGGGTAAACTAGACTTAATGAAGAAGATGCTCAAAAAATTTCATCAAAAAATTCAACTGGGAACCACTCAATTGGCGACGACCGGGCAGAACCTCTTATATAAGGGGCTAACTGAACACTTTAAGTCAGTTCATGTAACTATTTGACCCTTTAGCCTTCAAGGAAAACTCCTATATTCTGTTCCCAAAATAAGAGTTATCCAGTTCTATTTAGAAGTATGAAACTTCTCTAAGCAAGAGTGAACGACTATTATTTTAGGAGAAAAGTAGCAATCGTCACATTTATGTTCTTTTAGTCACATTATTGGTTTCACTGCATCATAATAATATCATAATACGGAGTAATATAGTTGTATGGTCTAAGAATGACATTATTACTTTGTACTTGTTTATACAAAAAAAACTGTTCACCTTAATCATATTGGTAAATTACTACTCCGTATTTCTATTTCTCTTGCAATGGAAGAAAGTGCTCACTTTTTTCCTTCGAAGTGTTGAATGATTTGACATCGAATCGACGAATCTAAACATAATTTAATATTCTTAGTCCATGTTCCAGATGTATATCAGAAATTTAATTTGAAACTAAAAAAGAATGCTTTGTATTTATTTATAAAATGCTTTGTATTTATTTATAAAAAAAGAATGAAAGCGTGTAGATATTGCCAACTCGATTAAGTATTTGCTAGTGTTGGGGAAGGAAAAAGGAATATGGTAAATTCCATTGTACAGTCGGCTGTACCGTGCGCACGGTACAGCCGAACTTTTTGTTCTCTGCGCAGCACAGGTCGTCATCTCCAGCTGGCTTCCCTCGCACCATCTCCATCTCTTCTTCGTCCTTGAGAGGCTTCGCGCATTGTATGGTCATCGTTCCCAACTTGCGCGGTTCGTGGCTTCCTTGCCACGGGGATTCACTTAGCTCGCCTCTTGGCTGGATCTGTGATGATGGAGCTCTCAACTGATGTCTATGGTCGATTTCGCGATTGACGGGGATGAAAGGGCATCTTAACCCTAGATTCGGCTCCTGTTTCTCCTTTTCTTCGTTTTCTGATGGAGTATAATCGTAGTCTTACTGATGAGTATACACAAATAAAAAGTTGAGTATAGTGGAGATTTTAATGAGTTTTTTTAAATTGTCCGATACTCATTTCGTAATTCGTGTATGCTCATTTCATATTGGTGTAAACTCATTTTAAAATGTCACATTCATGTATTTTTCAAAACTATAATATTACATCAAATTCATATATTAGATTCATATAGATTCAAATTCAACGCCCTAAATCAATGAGCACACACAAATGAGCTTTTGAATTTTTTGATACTCATTTTGTACTCATTAAAAATGAGTTTTATATCAAACTCAGATGAGTATACGCCTCAAAGAAATGAACATACACAATTGAATATTAAACACATTAAAAATGTGTGTTTTTTGTTAAACTTAAATGAGTATAACGTCCAAAATCAATGAGCATACACAAATAAGCTTTTGAATTTTTGGATACCCATTTTGTAAATTATGTATGCTCATTTGGTACTGCTTTATGCTCAATTTAAAATGATGCTCATATAAAATATAACGCCCAAAATTAATGAGCATACACAAATGAAGTTTTGATTTTTTTGATACTCATTTTGTAAATTATGTATGCTCATTTGGTACTGGTTTGTGCTCATTTTAAAATGATGCACATATCAAACATATCATACTACATTAGATTGACATATTGAAATTAATTATAAACACAATTTAAGATTTTTTTATAAACGAAAATTAATAAAAAGAAACTGAATTAGAAGATATGAAGCAGGGATCACTGGTGCTCATTGTTAGACTCCTAATACTCAGAAGAACAAACTCGATGCTCATCCAACTTATATCAATGCTCATATAAGAGAAATCATGAAGTTCATCAAATTTACAAAAATGCCACCGGCTGTACGGTGCCAGCCGTACAGCCGGCTGTATGGTATACGCGTCCAAGGAATATATGCCAACTCACACCCTTTAATTTGGATTGTAATTAATTATTACACTAATTTTGTGAGTACAAAAAATTGAGACACATAATTATTGTATGAGCTGCCTATGTACATAGGGAATTAGGAGTGTGCAGAAGAATTATGTTTTTGTATACAGATAGAATTTTACACCAATATGTCCAATATCTATGTGATTTGATAAATGTATGATATGTACTATTTTATTATTATTTAAATCTAGTTTGATTAAATCTTATGTGTCTAAATATGATCTAATCTGATCCAAATGAAACAAGTTCAAGTAATAGCATCCTTATTCTCAAATAAGTTTGTATTTGTAAGATTATTATTATTATTATTATTATTAGTATGCATAATAAAACATTTTATTATACTTAGACAAACTTTCTTCACACAATATAAATGCAACATTTAGGGGGGAAAGAATGATACGGAGTATAAAAAAGGAAATCTTGGAATATCAAGGTATTAATTTGGTGATAGCCCCATCCTTTCCATTTGCATGTGTTTTTATAAACTACTTCCTACACTACTTCCGTCCCAAAATGATGGTTATGTATTTTCTATTTGGAGTGTTCCGAAATGATTGTTACCTTTCCTTTTTTGGTAAAGAAATTAAAGTAGATTAGGATTTACACTCATCTTTTTTAATGAACAATAAAAGTAAAAGAGTGAACAGTACAATAAAGTAAGGTTATATTGGTCCTTCTACCATTTTTTCTTAATATTTGAGCGCAAAAAGCATAGGACCATCAATTTGGAACTGAGGGAGTCAGGGGCGGATCCAGGAAATTCATGTTGGGAGGGCGGTAATTTCATCAAAATATTTTTTGGGAGTGCGAAAATTATTTTTCGTTTATATATACACTAAAAAAAATTGTTTGGGGGGCGGTAGCCCCCCTAGGTCTCTACTACGGTCCGTCCCTCGAGGGAGTAGGAAAGAATGACACACTAGGGGCCTCAAGGTTGAACAGTTAATTGACATAGTGAAATTAGATTTTACTCAGAGTCTAATACTCTGATAGTGAATGAGATTTTGACCCAAGTACTTCTAAAGGTCATATACATTTTGTATAGTAAGTAGTAGTCTCTCATCGTCTAGAATATGAATCCAAGACTTACACCTCTACAACTGGAAAGTATAGTTTTTTTAAAACTATATGAATATAATACAAATATAATTCAACTTTGATGCGCACATGTTAAAAGTGAAAACACTCATTTGTCTTTCTTCACTTTGTGTATAGGGATTCTGCATTAGCATAGCTAGGGGTTGATTCACGCATTAGCCAACCTCACGTAGTACATTTTTCTAATACGGAATATATATGAAATGGACAATCAAATTCTTTGACAATTTTTTTTTTTTCATATATCTCAATCTAATATGATTCAACTTAGACACGCCTTATTAGAAATCCTCTCCATTCTTTTCAACTACGTACCATCTTTCTCCATCAATAAATGTTAGTGATGTTACTTTGAATGTGTATATCATGCCCAATTATACTTTTTAATCTTAATTTTAGAAAAATCGTTATTTTCTTACTATGTACGTAGTACTCCCTCCGGTTCTAAATAAACTTCACACTTTCATTTTTGGATAGGTCCAAAGTAATTCTCTTATTTCCTTATTTGGAAAAAAAAAAACTGCATCAAAACAGTGCTAAACAGTGTCAAATAGTGCCAAACAGTGTCACAACAGTGTACTCTACAGTAATGTCAAATTTATTTCCTTAATTTGTGTGAAGTCAAAGTGTGAAGTTTAAAAAGAACCGGGGTAATTTAAAAGGACATTTAAAAGAGGGAGGTGGAGTACTAGAGTATAGTAAAAAATCGGTCACATTGCAAAAACTAAATTAAATAGTCCACTGATGTATCAAAAACTAAGTTATTATCTCTATATTATTATTATTACAAATTATATATTGTCCACTTCGACCAATCAGAATGTTGCAGTTAAATTATTTAAATCTAAATTAAAAATGATTTAATGATTTAGACCAATCATGTGAATGGTAGGTATGGTACCCCATTTTTTAAACGGGTACCGGAGTTGTCAAGTTTAGCTACATTTTTAAATTCATTAGCTGGTATGATTGAATTTAACATAATTAATTTGCGATCCACCATAATGAGAACCGGATTCTTTCTTTATTTGAAATATGATTCTTTTTTTAATTTAAGATTAATTAAAGGCTTCACATTTGTTTGACCAAATGAAATACCGAGTATGAAATAATATCCATATTTGGAACAGAGAACGTTGTAAATCCAGCATATATTCTGTCCTTTTTCGTTGTTATCGTTTGTTTATTCCCGTGATACATAAAGACCCATCGTGGCAGTAATAAATTAATATCATTATTTTCATTATGATTATTAAATGAGTAAAATAAGATAAATTCTAAAATACAGCTCCGTGAACTGTCGGCGGCCACACCAAACCTCTGCAACAAACAAGCTCCTTTATATAGAAAAAGGACACTTCCTTTCGGTCAAAAAGGAAGAAGAAGAAAAGACGAAAAGTCACTTCCCAGAAAAAGCCATAAACTTTGAAATCCCAAGCTCTGCATTTGGTTCTGCAGAAATCAGGGCTTTGACCCTTTTTTCTATTGGAGCAGAACAAACTCAATTACAGGTACTTACAGATAGATTCTGCCTTGTCTTTCTCCTTCTTTCTTTCTTTTGTGGGAAACCTTAAAAACTCAATCTTTCTGATCAAAATGTTTAAATTTTCTGTTGTTTTTTTATTGCATTTCTATTGGAGCAGAACAAATTCCATTACAGGTACTTGCAGATGGATTCTTCTTTTTCCCTTCTTTCTTTTGTGGGAATCCTTAAAAACTAAATCTTTCTGATCAAAATGTTTAAATTTCTGTTGTTTTTTTTATACTTCAAGTATCAGACTTCTTCTTCATCTTTTATTGCATTTCTATTGGAGCAGAACAAATTCCATTACAGGTACTTGCAGATAGATTCCTCTTTGTCTTTCTTCCTTCTTTCTTTTGTGGGAAACCTTAAAAACTCAATCTTTCTCATCAAATGTTTAAATTTTATGTTTTTACTTCAATTGTCAGACTTCTTCATCTTTTATTGCATTTCTATTGGAGTAGAACAAATTCCATTACAGGTACTTACAGATAGATTCCTCTTTGTCTTTCTTCCTTCTTTCTTTTGTGAGAAACCTTAAACACTCAATCTTTCTAATCAAAATGTTTAAATTTTCTGTTTCTTTTCTCTACTTCAAATATCAGACTTCTTCTTCATCTTTTATTGCATTTCTATTGGAGCAGAAAAAATTCCATTACAGATACTTAAAGATAGATTCTTCTTTGTCTTTATTCCTTCTTTCTTTTGTGGGAAACCATAAAAACTCAATCTTTCTGATCAAAATGTTTTAATTTTCTGTTTTTTCAATACTTCAAGAATCAGACTTCTTCTTCATCTTTTATTGCATTTCTGGAGTATGATGAAATTAGTGGGAATGCAAAAATGGGTACCTGCAATAATGGTGGTTCTGATGTTTATTTTGAGAAGAATACATTGTTCCTTGGTGAATATCACCATTGTCAGAAATGGTCATGTGGCCAGAGGAGCGGTCTGTTTGGATGGGAGTCCACCGGCATACCATCTCGATCCAGGATTCGACTCCGGAATCAACAATTGGTTGATCCAAATTGAGGTTTGCTTCTCAGATCGTTTCTAAATTATTATAACTCGGGAAATTAGTCAGAGTTCAACAAATTTGTATTTACTATCCTTAATGTCTTTTTTTTTTAAACACTATCCTTAATGTCTTATTCAGTGTTCTTATATACTCTACGTTTTTGCAATCATATAGTCCATGCTATATACTGTAATTCTTTTCGTCAAGTTTTTCATCATTTGTGATATGTAAAGTTACGACTTGTAGTGTATAAGTTAATACATTTACTTCTTGCAAAAAAAAAAAAGTAAATACATTTACTTTTTGTCTTTTTCGTTTTTTCATACGGAAGATTTCTATTTTACGAGTATTTTGCAACTCTCGAAGTCTGATGTAATCATGTAATCTGTTATGATATGATCTACGATTGAAACCATTCCCATTAAAACATTCTCAATCCAGTTTCGTCCCAAAATAATATCGTCTTTTACTTTTCATGATCACCATGATTCAATTTTATTATTTAACTTTAAGTATCATTTTATAATCATTTCCTATTTAGCTTTTGTTATCCAATAAAACTTTTAGGATATTTTCTAAGAATATAAATTTTAATACCATGCACTGGCTTTGAACGATCAAGAAAGAATTAATTTTATCTTCAAACCTTATTAATCTTTTTTTACGCATCAGTTAGGACAGAAGAGTAAATGAAATTTGAGCACATCTTCTTCATTTGATCGAAAATTCACAGGCCTATATTTTTGGAGTTATTTTATGGGTCCAAAATTCATTGTTCTTGGTCTCTCTTTTCAAATGTTATTCTTGGTCTCTTAGAGCAGTGAAAACGGAAGAATTTATCGCTTCAGAGTTAATTTATCTTGAAATGCATTGACTTATACTCATACAAACTTCTAAATATCATTTCTAGAGGTATTAACTTATATTCATGATTTGTGTCCCAAAGAAAAAACCAATGCTACAAAGTCCTAATAACCACATCATTACAAACTTTGTCCACTATCTTGTGGAGTAATAAACATACGTGTACAAGTTTAGATTCACACTCTGTTGACCAAATTATTGTGGTCATAATTCAACTTAATCTGATTCCAAGTAGAGACATTTTTTCTTTGTGCCTAGGTATATTATACGTCTCTTCAATAAGACCACTTCCCCTCTTTTGTGCGTGAATCCACTATATTGCTTCAATATTGTGTCTTATATGCCTCCCAAGTTCAAACATATCTATATGTGTATAAGTTGTGCCTCTAGGGAGGAGGATGGTGCAATAATGAGACCACTTGCCTTTCAAGGAAGAATACTCAATTGGGATCCTCCCTGCGTATGGAAAAATGCCTTCCTTTCTCAGGCCTCCTAGGCAACAACCCTCAGCTCAATCCAGGTAAGTTATACTACATATACTATTTTATTTTATTTTTCCCATTTTAGTTTTGTTGCCCTAGAGAAACTTGCCTTAAATCAGCCCTATCGTGTTCAAACCAACAGATTTCTACAATTGGAACAGAGTCAAAATTAGATATTGTGATGGATCTTCCTTTACCGGTGATGTTGCTGCAGTCAATCCTGTACGTATGTGATTGATAGAAATATAGAACAAATGCCTTGAATTGAAGGAGATTATGGAATAGCCCTATAATCATCTAAGCTGTTGAATTATTATGCGATACAGAAAACTAATCTTCACTTCAGAGGAGCAAGGGTTTTTCTTGCTGTCATGGAGGATTTATTAAATAAAGGAATGAAGAATGCCGAAAATGTTTGTGCTCTCTCTTTCCCTTATCAGTTTTTACTGAAATATAAAAGTATGAATTGAACACATTGGTCAAAATTGAAACTACAGTTTTTGTCAAAAAAAATTATTGTTGCATATCTTTAAGGGATTGGTGGAGTATGTTTTCATATTTATATGACGCAAAATTACTCAAACACAAAGCTAATGAAAACATCTGTGATGTAGGCTATATTGTCTGGCTGCTCAGCTGGAGGGTTGGCCTCAATTCTTCACTGTGACAGCTTCAATGCCCTCCTCCCAGCAGGTGCTAAAATTAAGTGCTTATCAGACGGGGGATATTTTATTAACGCGTAAGATGAGTTGGGCTCCGGTTGGTAGCTTCATACATCTTATTCTACTTATTCAATGAGTAAATTTTGACTTACTTATTTGGCTGAAAGATGTGTTACCGCATAAATTTCCATCTAGAAAAATCAACCAGTCAATCATTACATGCGAGCTAACATGTGGATGACTTGTTGACAGAATGGATATTTCTCATACACCACATATTGAGCAGTTCTTCAATGACATTGTTCGAACACATGTGTGCTTCTTCTTCCCTTTAATCTGTGTTTAGTAAATATATGGTTCTATGAGTTTCCTGTGGTAAATATTATATTCATCCTCTTGTTGGATTCAGGGATCAGTCAAGAATTTGCCTCCATCGTGTACCTTAAGAATGAATCAGCCAAATCTGGTAAGAGCAATCAGTTTCAAGAATTCAATGCTACCATTTGGTTTGTACTTGTGTGTGTTGTTGCATCTCACGCCCAACACTTACAAACAACATTGCAGTGTTTTTTCCCTCAAAATGTGGTGCAACATCTTCGGACACCTCTGTTCATATTAAATGCAGCCTATGATTCCTGGCAGGTTATTATTATAAACACCAACCTTAAGGGTAACCAAACATTCTTAGAAAGAGATATTGCAGTAAATTGACTCCTCCAGTATGGTAAACTTGCAGATAAGAAACATTTTGGTTCCTGGGGTTGCTGATCCTCATGGAACATGGGGCAAATGCAGACTAGACATAACAAACTGTACATCGAGTCAGCTTCAAATAATGCAAGGTAAGCGGCAAGCAAATGGACATTAACTATTAGAAACTAGTGCGAAAAAAGTAAACACATAAGGCATATGCACAAAAGGGAGTATCTTTGTGTTGCGCTAAAAATAGGACTGAAACAGCCTTAACAGAACAAAAGTAGTTAAAAATTCTTCTTTTATGAGCGGAAGAATCCTAATTTCAGTAAATCATTATTGTTCATTTTCCCATTATGATTAATTTATTGTTATAATTATTATTATCTATTTGGACTAGAGCACCTGCAGAGTAGTTACGCGGTAGGGGTAGTGTTCTGCTTAAACTGTGACAGGGTCAAATCTGCAAGTTTCTGTCAATATCACAATCATGCTCGTAAGAGATGAACGAATGTTTCTGATGCTTTTAATACATTTCTTTTTTCAGGTTATAGATGGCAGTTCTTGAGGGCATTATCATATGGGCTAGGCCCTTCTTCATCAAGAGGATACTTTATTAACTCATGCTTCGCTCACTGCCAAACGGAAGTGCAAGAAACGTGGTTCAGAAATGACTCTCCGAGATTGGAGAACAAGGTACATTAAAAAAGAAACAACTAACCTGTTAAGACCTTGCTTTGACTCTCTACTGAAACTGAATTGACTTTACTTTGACTCTTCATTGAAACCCCCTGTTATGGCGCAGACAATAGCAAAAGCAGTTGGCGACTGGTTTTTTGACAGAGATGCATTTCAGAAGATCGATTGCCCTTATCCTTGCGACACCACATGTCACAACCGTATTTTTTATACTCCATCCAACCAATTGATATAGCAGCAGCAGAAGAAGCATATAGTTCATTTAAATTTTCTGGAAGAAACATTCTTGACAAGATTTTTTAATTCTCAAAGAAAGAAACAAAAAAAATCATTATTTATTTATTCAGTGTATTTATTCAGAATAAAGGAAGATTGCCGATTGCCATTGCACAGAACTCAGTGCATGCTTTCTTCTTATTTAGCCATATACAGAACAAAAATAGAGCATATCATACATGTGTATATGTACTGTTTGTACTTAATGATATTCGAGAAGAGGATTGTTTCATTTCGATCAATAAAGTTAATTCTTGTACGCTGTAAGCAATAACTAAAATAGTGTTTGGTAAGTTATAAATTGTAATCGATTGCACATTGGATTTCATTACACCTTGCCAAATGGTAGATAAGCAAGTGGTAGATAAGATTATAAGAACTCTCCACAATGCCCATAAAGACTATGAAAAAAGTAAATGCTTCAAGTCCCAGTCAACCGTTCATTCAGTGCTATGAAAAGAAAATAAGCTGAATGCTACACAGGTCTGCTGTTGCAGTTAAGTAAAACAATTGTTTTCCAAGAAAAACGTGAATGCATCTCCCTTGACCAAGTCAAACTCAATTACTACAACGTTTGGACTTCGCAAAATCTGCCTTTGCTTATTCAAATTCATGCATCCACATCTGTCTCCACAGAAATTACCCAACGAAATAAATAAAAATAGGAAGGTTTCACCAACCTACTTATTCTGCATGGCATTTCTGAGAATCACAGTATGCAGGAAAGTTGCATTCGCAAGGTCCTTCCCTGACCTGCATGTCAAGGGAAAAAAGATCATGGTTAACCTTGAGGGTCTTTTGGATCCTAGAAAAGACTACGGAAATAAAATTAGAAGGAAAACACGTAGGAAGATTCGAGTGAAAGGAAATGGTTGTGAAACTAAAAGATAGGCTAAAACTAAATTAATTTTCTTTTAGATATTTGTTGATGCCCATTGTATTTATTGAGTATATTGTGTAAAACTGAAACATCTCAATATGTAAGAGATAAATGAACAAATAACTACATTTCATTTACCTTTGCATTTTCCAAGGTAAGAACAAACAGAATAAAGCAACTTTAAGTTTGAAAATTCTTCCCTCGCATTTTCTGGGATGCCCTAAAGATTACATATACTTTTTTTGACATCTAAAGATTACATATACTTGAAAATTTGTAGATGCTACCACTACTTCGAACTAGTCAATGGGATCAGAGAGAATAATTTCTTCAAGGCAAGAATTGTTTCAAGCATGCATTCTTTTCCATTTTAAACACACGAATCCAATACCGATCTGTTCATAAATATACCTTGCGCAGTGTAAATGATACTCTCCTTGGTGCCCGTCTGATTGTATTGTCTTTCACTATGTCAACCTGCAGCAAAGACATTAGAAACACGCATCAGTGGGAGAGGGAAAATAATAGTAAAACTCAACTTCACAAAGCTTAATGTGAGAAAACTCAGAAAAGAAAATCTAAACGTGAAAATGAAATGTGGGCAGCAAAAATTGCATGCAGTGTGGAATATAATGGTGGGAACTTGTTATAATGACCTCTGACAAAAAAAATCACATCTGAGTATCTGACAAGTTACAACTTTTACATGTTGGTAAAGGTACAACTGTCATAAAATCATACTAACATTTTTTAATTTAAATTCATTTGCATGTTAAAAATTTTACATGTTCTATCTTATATGTGACTCTTTTTGACATTTTTTAGCAAATTACATGAAAAATTAGCTTCATCTGATAAAAAGCTAAATCAGAACTCTTTTGGGGATACGAAAAAGAATATCTGAAACAAGACATTTTTGTCGAGGGAATATAAGCAATGAATTGAAGTTTGAGAGAGAAATCAATAATTCAAGAAGCTTTTCATAGCCAGATTACCTTGTGGTGTGGAATATAATGATGCCAAGCATAGCGTGCCTCTCCAGATAATAATAGCATCGATCGTGGGGGAAGATAAATAGCTTTTCTCAAAAAACTAGAGGTCATCTTATCACAGTCTTGCATCTCTCCATGAGATGCTAATTCAGAGTTTGTCACCCAAACGCCTTTTTGATACTTCCTGAATTCCATCACACAAGACCCTGCTAATGAAAGACTGAAAATTAACCCCTCGAATGCAGAATGAGTATCTATATGTGGAGACAACCCCACTCCAGGTGGATATTCATTAACCTGTTACAGGTCACATTAAGAATTAGTTTAAATCTAGAACCCAATGAGGTATCACCAATTTAAACTATTACTTCCTAGTATGCTTTTATTGGGTGATTATGCGTCTATCTGATGCGTACTTTTGATGAAAAATGAAACTTTTTTAATACATTATGGAACTAATATAATATACGCAGTACATTACATCAGAGAGTCCAGTCAATTTTGTGATAATGATAAGATAAATTTAGTGCTTTGCTAATTGAACAACATTATGTGTGAATATACTCTCTCCGTCTCAAAATGATTTGCTAAGTCTACTTTTCTAGTTTTCTTGGTCAACATAATTTGGTTTTATTTACTTATTAAGAATATCAATTTATCATATTTCAATGTAGTTTCTGAATATATAAATTTAATTAGTAAAACTGTAAAACTGATCTAATTATCATCATTCAATCTTAAAAACTACAAACTGCAAATCAATTTGGGACGGATGATGTATGATAAATGGCAGTGTGATGTACTAAATATGATTAGATGATGTTAATTATTAATAGTAGAGAAATACAACTTACCGTTAACTGGTCCAGAACTACACTTCCTGTGTAACCTAGCTTCTGAAAGGAAGATGCTCTTTCGAGTACCAGAGAAACAAATTGTGGGAGTTCACCCAAGTAATGGCTTGTGTTAACATTTCTTATCTATAGCAGTAAAAGACAGGAAATTAAATACACACATTGTTGACGGATTTCATCACACGAACCCACCCAATAGAACAACCAACCGTTTGTAGGAAGAAGAAGAAAGGTGGATTCTATGCAATTGGAAAAGGTCACAGCAATGTACTTCTGTTGGAACTTACATCATAACGAAACTCATAACCATAATGTTGAACCCTTCTTTTTGCAAGATTTTGCCAAGGTCTACTATCAACAGCAGCAAGGAGTTCCTATACGTTCAGGTGCAGTTACATTAAAAAAATCATAAGATAATCTGATCAGATAAGGCAGGGTTGTATATTAGATTTTGGAGGTCCTGTTCAACATGAGAAAATCAGGTTCCCACGTTATAAGCAATTTAACAAAAAAAACTTTGAAAGGAGTAGTTCCAAGAATTCAAATAGGGTATGTGAAGGTGCAGCTGCCCTATTACGTTATAGATTAAAAAAACAGCTCATTTCTAAATTATAAATTAAAAAACTTTGGGGCCTAATTGGCCAATGAATTCAAAGAGCATTAAGCTTTCTTTTCTCTAGCAAATATTGATCCCTTATTGTCTGCCTTTGCCAATGAAGAACAGAAACTCTTCGGAAAGTGTGTCTTTCCGTTTCGGAAACTCTAAGGAAGCTCTTTAGAAACTCTCCAAACACTTGTGTTTCTATTAAAACATGACATTTTCCATTTCCCCAAGTCTCTGTGCAATATAAGCCTTTGGAAATTAGTGTTTAAAGTATGATGGAAATCAAATCAGTACAAGGATGGTTGGTGGACTTTGAGGCCCCTCGTTTATGTGACCTTAGGTAGAAACTATTTAACATGTTGTTTTGGCCAATGGCGGAGCCAGGAAAAAGTCTCGGGGGTCAAAGGGATGGATCACCCTTAAGAATATTTGAGTTACATATTTCATATGTAGCTGAGATAAATGTTAATTTAAATGAGATCTAAAGAGTTGTTGGTTTGATATATATATGTAATATATTATAAATTTCACATAACTAATGAGTGAATAAGATATAGTTTTTAAAATTTGGGAATATAACTAATATTACACATCAACCCATTTCAAGTTTAGATTGCTCATATTCCAGAAGTCATAACTTTTTACTCATAATGAGTTATGAGAGCCATAATATATCAAATCCAATACATTTCAGTGCTCTACATGCTCAAACTTTTAGAAAGGTCAGCTGACCACTCTTGGCTCCGCCCCTGGTTGTAGCCGACCTCAAACGCCTGACTCGATAGCACCCAATTGAGATATAAGAAATATATAAAAATTATAAATGTTGTGAGCAGAAACCACCATACTTTTGCATTTGAGGAACTAAAGACCCTACCTGCTCTTCCTTAGCAGTAATGAAATCTGGAATGAAGTAAACACCAGGAATTTTCAACTCGGAGGCATCCAAAGACACAACAAATGATTCATTGACTTCAGCCTGATAAGGAATTCAGTCTAATCAAACCCCAATGAAATAAAAGAGCTAACTCCAAGACACTGGTTGGCTAAGATTTGGAATGGTATACAATGTTTAATTAAATCTATTCTCAGACCAAACCAAATCCTTGCTCATACCAATTTCCTTACCTTCCATTTTTAGAGATGCATGAACACAAGGTGCATAATATGAAAGAGGGGAAATGAAGATCCACATGAGGCAACAAAATCATGAAAGTTCAAATTTTGCACCTTAGAAACTGATTGTACAGAATAGCGAATATGCAGACAACGTCCTCCAAGATGAGGGCATGGGTGTCCGTCCAATGCTTCCAGCGCTGATTGTGCAGAAATCTTTTCATGAAAAGACACAATTACACGAGTGCCACTTTCATCGGCTGGACAAACTCCCCTGATATCACCATATTTGCTGAACACCAACCCAATAGCATCCAATGAGAGCCCGACAGCTGGCCCACAGTTAGCCACATAAAGGTTGGGACTTGATTCATTACATCCTCCCTTTGGGCGCATAAATCTTGTCAATCCCATGATATATGCATGCGCAAGAAGAAAAAATATGTTCACTCCAGAACCATGCAATTTGTTATGCCCCAATCATTCTTTCCCTGTTGTCAGTGGCAAGGTCATCCACATCGAATATAATATACAGATATGAACCAACCTATAAATGTTGAGGTTACTTCTCCTATAGAGTCAAGTTGATGGTGGAACTCAAAGTCTTAACAGCAGCTACTTCAAAACATAATGCAGTGATGCTAAGTCAAGATCTACTAAAGCTTTGAAACTTGACTGATCAACCCTAACTCTCTCTCTCTCATACAGCAAACGCATGGAGAGGGGCTCCATTTGAAGACCTTGAAATAATTGAGAAATGGAGAAAATGTGAATGGGAAAATGTTTTTTTTACTTGATCTTGGATGTATTTAACTTCCCCACACTTGATTTATTTTTTACACCGTGACCTTAGGGATACAGCTCACAAGCTCAACTACTTAAACGAGTATCAGGTGGCAGATTTCCTAGACTTGATTAATCTAGTTTGAGCATCTCTTTGTGCTTTCCTCCGAAAAATACTTTTCAACAAATTCTGTGTCATGTTTTTTCCAAACAATTTTCTGGTTCCAAACGAAGCCTAAAAAACTCCAAATTACTAACTTCAGGTAAAAACTCACATACACTAAAAAAATTAACACAGTAAACTAGTCACCAACACTGCAGGAACAAATAACCCTAGTAGAATTGAGCTCCTAGCTACCCACTTGAAGCGCAATATCAAGGTTTTAAAAATGGGGCTTCTAAATTTTACCTTACCCACTTCATTGAATGAAATGCGGATCATCTACCTATATGCATTTGTTGAATTTGTCTAAAAGGCACATGTATGGGTCTACAGTCTACCGATAAATAAGCCATGGCCAATAGCTTACTAGTAGAGTTGGAGAAGCATACAAATCCAAAAATTAACCGGTGCCGGAACGATTGCTATGGAAATCCAGTGAGAGAATCGGGAGCTGGAGGTCTGGAAGGAGAGGCCACGGTAAAAGAACTGGGTTTTAAGACCTTGTGTAATCTTTGCCAAAAAAAAAAAAAAAAAACTTGTGTAATCACGGATGGACCGGATGGTTGATAAAAAAACGGTTGGACGAGGTGTACAGTTTGAGCGTCTTTGTTAGCACCAAAATCTGTTGTTTTGGCTGATTCTGCTAAAATTTATGAAGTTCTGGTTGAAGTGCTTGCATTGGTTTATTCTGTTGATTTAAGAAAAAATCATTTTTAAAATATATTTTATTAATAAAATAAATAAAAAATTATATGTAAAAATAGCTAAAATCGTCATCTACAGTAACTTCAATCAATACAGCCAAAAAAGTTTCAACCTTACTTTTTCTGCTTATTATACAATTCAACGCGCGAAAGCAAAAGTTATTTGTTTGGTGAAAAAGTTGGCAGATAAATATGATAAACCGAAAAACAGTGTTGCCAAACGGTCTCTTTGTTTGTGTAGACACTTTTATACATGTGTGTAGATTTTTTTTACAAAACGTTTTTTGTAAAAAAAAAGTATTAAATACGTATGAACAATCATAGATTGCATAAATTAATAGCATTTTATATATGCAACGTTGGTGTCATATGAAAATTAATAAAAAATCAAGAATTTTGATATATGTTTTCTAACAATCGGAGTATAAATAAAAAAGTTATAGCAATTTTAGAAAACGGATGTTATTTTAAAGTATTAATTTTTATTTTTTTTTATATATTAAATTTGGGTGTCATTCAAATATAATAAAAGTTTTTGAATTTGATATGTTTTTTGTGACAATCGGAGTACAAATAAAAATGTTACAGCACTTAAAAACAAATGTTTTAAAGTGTTAAATTATTATTTTTATTTTTATATATTAAATATTGGTGTTATATGAAATATAATAAAAGGTTATGAATTTTTATATGTTTTTGTAACAAAATATAGTACAAATATTAAATAAATATGGCACTTTAAAAAAACATATATTTTTTAAAGTGTTATATTTTTTAATTGTATATATTCAATATTGGTGTAATATGAAATATAATAAAAATATATATGAATTTTGATACATATTTTGTGACAACAAGAGTACCAATAAAAATGGTACAGTACTTAAAACACATATGTAAAAGTGTCAAATTATTTTTTTAATGTTTATATGCTCAATGTTGGTGTCATATGAAAGATAATAAAATATTATGAATTTTGATGTATTTTTTTAACAATTGAAGTACAAATAAAAAGTTATCACATTAAAATAAAAATGAGAATTTATTTTGGTGAGGCCCGGATGAATTCTAATTGAACACGGCATAATTTCCATAATTAAAAATTGTTTTTAAAATTTGGAAAGTAATATTTTGAGTAATATTTTTAAAGACACATACGGTGGGATATGTAATGAGTAATAAAAAGATATTAAAAAATGACTTTATATACATGTATTCCAATTGTAAAATAGGTATAGTAGTTAAAATCTTATGTTAAGACTTATTTCCATTCATTTGAAAATACATCATTTCATTTCATTTTCATTTACCCCAGTGCCGCAAAGGCTCCCACCTACCGTGGGGTAAGGGGGGGTCGGATGTACGCAGTCTTATCCCTGTACTAAAGCACAGAGAGACTGTTTCCGGATGACTCATAGTGAAAAACGCATCCAAAATTGCATGGACTGACTGCTGCTTCATAACAAAGAAGAGCAGACAGTTTAGAAAAATAAAGTTCTAGTCATAATTATGAAAACTATGTTGCGTGCGATTAGAATTCAACAAAGTTCTAGACATTATTTATGTAAAATTTTCTCTATATCCGAACGAGCTCATATATTAGGGTTATGTTTGGCACTTCCAAATGTAGACGGGGAGCCAATGTCTGAATTAAAGGCTATTGTCTGGACTTTGACTGTTGTATAGAGCTGAATTTTGAAATGTTGCATCTAGACTGTTTGTTGGATGATGTCAATCTGTTTGGAAAAAAGATTTAAAAAAAATGATCGGATAATATGACCTGACTAGATCAGATCAGACCGGATTTGATCACATCAACAAGGCCTTACATGGAATATGGTAAATTATGAATGTGGCATTGATGCTTATACATCTTGCTCCTTGCTAATGGAGTAATGGATATGTGGATATCCCTTAGTTAAACATAACTTATGCATTTTTGTATTAAATACTCCGTATATTGAATCAACATTCATCCTTTTCGGCTTTGAGGCCATGTGTTCATATTTATTTGATACAAAAAAAATTATCGTTGTTTTCCTTTTCTTCTAGATACTATATGAAGTGTAAAAGTATAAGTACATGTTTTTATTGTACAAAATATACTGGGTATTATCCCAATCGGGCACCAAGTGTTACGAAAACTAGTATTGCTTATAAAGAGCAGTTGTTTGATTTGTTTGAGTTGATTGGGCTTGGGCTATAAGGATCAGTTTTTTGTTTTTTTTTCGGGGGGGGGGGGGGGGGGGGGGGGCTGTTCTCGCATTTATTGTAAAGAAGAGTCGCCACTTGGAGTGACGAATTTTCTTAACCACGGTTAACTCCAGTTGTATTTTAGGAATTATTTTTAACCCAACAAATTATTTTGGGAATTATTTATTTAATTAACATTAATCCGGGGGGGACTCTTTTGACTGTGTGTGATGAATTGTATAATAATCAATATAAGTATTTCATGTTGAATTGACGAAAATTACTATGAAACATCATTTTAACTATTTTCATTAAAAAAATTGCAAATAAAATATATTTTAAAAATAATTTTTTATATTTCAACATATTTTAAATATATTAAATACATATATACCAATCATATCGTGATACCAAAAGTTGTCTTTAAGAGTTAGATAAATAAGTTAAGTAGTGTATAAAAGGTAATTCTTTTACTCATGAATGTAACTTTGATATAGTACGATTTGATCATAAAATTGAGATAATTTTTTCGTTTCTAAAATGATTTTTTTTATTGCACAGTTTGACTTGTTTATGTTTCGGTTATTACCTACCAAATAAAAATTCATGCCAACATTTATTTGTTCAATAACGCTTATATAAAATCAATCTAATGAAAAATAAATCGAACACTACCAAACGCGTTATGCAGTCGGCCTATTGTCGCCATCACCACTTTCATTAAAGTCATAATGTCATGAAACTGAATATACTGAACTCTTTTCTTAAAGGATATAAAAGGACTAGTTTGCTCAATTCCAAATCCGATGAAGGGTTAATATCTTCAAAAACAATGACCACACGCATTATTAAATAAATTACAAAAATGTGTAGTTATTAGTTATAAAATAACAGTAAGCTATGGATGGAATCCAGTGGATAAAAGTGGGCATTGAGCAGTTTCTTTTAAGTTTAAATAAAGATGGTTGAAAAGACATAGTTCATTTGGATAAAAAGAGTTATAAAAATGGCTCTTTTAATTGAATAATATAGACTAAGAACATATTTAGATAATTACTTAAGTTAAAAAAACAAGACATACTCAATAAATAAGAATACGCACTATCAATCAATGTTATAATCGACTAAATAAGTGATCTTTCGTTAGTTCTAATAACTCATATATATTCCAATGCCGCGCAAACATATATAGTAAAACTAAAACAAAATTGTTTTACCCCATGCACGTCATGCATGGATAAAAATACTAGTATCTTTACCATGTGTGTACGCATGCATTGTCATATGTATGGGGAAAACAATAATTATCTCAAACTTCGAATGTGTGTGAAAACTATACCCCAAATTTGCATGTGCAATATATATAATCCAAAGTCTATATAAATTTTTATCTTTTCACCATGATTATGTGGTTTTTAAAAATATAAATTTATTGCAAAAAGTACATAATTTAAAATACTTTAAGCTTTGTTTGGATGCAATTAATTTTAAAATACTTTAAATTCATTTTTTAAATAAGTAATATTGCATCCGGTTCTATATATTTTTAATTGCACTCTCATAAGTGCTATGTAAATTTTAAATTATGTATCTACCATTATAAAATTACATTTTTGAAAACTCATATGATCATGGTACCAACACAACTTTATATAAAGATGAGGGTATACATATTACATGTGTAAGTTTGAGGTATTTAACTCACATCTCTTCAAAGTTTGGGATATTCCATCTAAGTGTGTACGATAAAAAACGATCCTTAACCGCAAAAATTTATAGAACTAATTTTTTATTTTTTGTATATGCAACATTAATGGCATACGAAATATACTAAAAAGCTATGATTTACTTTTTGTAACCATCGGAGTACAATTAAAAAAATTATACCACTTTAAGAAATAGATGTTTTTAAGGTGTTATTTTAAAATAAAAAATAAAATATTCAATATTGGTATCATATGAAAGATAATAAAAAGTTGTGGTTTTAGATATATTTTTTGTAACAGTTAGATTACAAATAAAAAAGTTATATGACTTTAAATAAAACAGATGTTTTTCAAAGTGTTAATTTTATTTTTATTTTTGTATATTCAATACGGAAGTCATTTGAAAGATAATAAAAATTTATGAATTTTGATATTTATTTATAAAAAATAGACTACAAATGAAACAGTTATAACACTTTTAAAAAACTTGGGATTTTATTTTGTTAGGACCCAAATAATACTCCCTCCGTCCCTAAATAAAACACGTTTTTTCCGTTTTGGGTTGTCCATATATAAAAGGCTCGTTTCCTTTTTTTGGGCAAACAAAATAGTGCAAATCAGTGTCAAACAGTATCCAAATAGTGTCAAATAGTACTCCTTTTTAGGTTGTGTGCCAGTCAAACCATGTCTTTCATATAAGGACCGAGGGAGTACTAGGTATGTGTTGTACGTAACCTTACTGTAATTCCTATATGAAATATGACGTACAATAGGATTACTTTCCTTTAATTTGAAAATTAAATTTAAAATATTAAAATTATGACCTGTATTGTTTAGAAAGTTCTTAGATAGTTTATCATGGTTGTTTTAGTGGTTGGGACCAATGGGAGGTCCAAAAGGGGAAGGAACGGAGCAAAAACTAATGTTTGGGA